CTTAGATGACTATATTGAGAACATGGGCGAAAACCAGAAGGCCATTTACTATTTGGCTACTGATAGCTTACAGAGTGCTAGAACTGCTCCTTTCTTGGAGAAGTTGGTTCAGAAAGGTATTGAGGTATGTGCTTCATCCCCCGGAAAGTGTAACAAAAATGGAATTGTATATGTGTATATCACAAAAAGGTGTACGAGTCCTGCTTTGTCAATCTATTTCTATATTGAGGAAAAAGAAACCTGTGGCCAGTACATTGTCCCCATATGGCGCTAAAACAACACAAAAATCCAACTCTCACCTTAATCTGCATGTCATGTCATAGTAGGATGTCCAACGGAAGACAAAACATGCATTTAAAAGGGGTGGGTGGGGGAGGGGAAGCTCTGCTGGAGAATCACCTTATCGGGCTTAAGTTCTCACTAGAATACCCTCTCTTTGTACACTCTTCTGACATTTTCTTGTGCTGCTGTGATACAGGTGTTGTATCTTGTCGAACCAATAGATGAGGTGGCTATCCAGAATCTACAAACATACAAGGAAAAGAAGTTCGTTGACATAAGCAAAGAGGACCTAGAGCTTGGTAAGCTTAATTTTTCTCGCATTGGCTGGGAATTCAGTATAGAAATTATTGCTTCTCTATATTTTCTGCGTTTTCCTTTAATTCGTATTTCCCACTCTGTAAACACGCAAATAAACAACAGAAGGGGTATTGGAGAAATAGAAATGAAATGGTCATTGAAGTTTGACCTCTTTCCACAGAGTGAACATATTTTAATCTCTGGATTTGATTTCAGATGATGACGATGAGGTGAAAGAAAGGGAAGCCAAGCAAGAGTACAATCTTCTATGTGATTGGATAAAGCAACAGTTGGGTGATAAGGTGGCTAAGGTACAGGTTTCCAAGCGTTTAAGCTCATCACCATGCGTGCTTGTATCTGGAAAGTTCGGTTGGTCTGCCAACATGGAAAGGTCTGTGGGTTATGATTTTTATCTTCTTTTTTTCCTATTCTTTGTCAGTTCATTTAATTTTAGAAATTGCAAAACTATGTGCTGAAGATCTTTGTTTCCTTTGTGTATGAAATAGGTTGATGAGAGCCCAAACCTTGGGAGACACTTCAACCCTGGAGTTTATGAGAGGGAGAAGAATATTGGAGGTTAATCCTGATCATCCAATCGTCAAAGACCTAAATGTAAGTTTGCCTTGCTTGATTTGCATAAGCTAGTTCCTTGATTTCGACTCTAAGAACAAGTGTTGTGAAATAAAAAAAAGGATATCTGAAATCGTAAGAATTTTAAATGATGAAACAATTTTACCTACAGAAATTTGGTAACATGATGGAATGTCATTCTGACCATCTGAACTATGATGATCACTTGATGCTAGGGAAGATAATTCTGAGATTGTGTCGTGAAGTTTCAGTCATCTAATTCTATAAATTCATTGAAGAATATCAGCCTTATAATATGTTCATAAAAGTTTTGTTTCCAATAAAAGATGAAGTAGGACGATGAAATGTACAATTATTATTGTGCATTGCTAACAGGAATTGTTTTTCTCCATTGTTAAAAGAAAAATACAGTAACTTATAAAAAGAATAATACAGTAAAGGTCGACTAAGAATCCTACGTATTTATCAACCAATGATTTTGTGGAACTTGCAGGCTGCATGCAAGAATGCACCCGACAGTTCTGATGCCAAGCGAGCTGTAGAACTATTGTACGACACTGCATTGATCTCCAGTGGATTTACTGTAAGTACTGTGGAACAGAACATAGTTTTTTCCTTCTCTCAATTTAGTAGAACAAATATTAAATAAGTTGTTTCTACTTGATACATGAATTTTTAACATTGGCACATTGGAAACAGCCTGATAGTCCAGCTGAGTTGGGTAACAAGATCTATGAGATGATGGCAATGGCTCTTGGTGGAAGATGGGGCAGATCCGAGGAAGACGAGTCAGAAACATCAGTACAAACTTCAACAGAGTCGGATGCAGGTTCGGCCGAAGTCTCAGAGGTACAAGTCGTCGAGCCATCAGAAGTAAGGACCGAGAGCAACGATTATTGGGAGTGATGTTAAAGTGTTTTGTCATTCTTGTTTAGGCATTCTTTCTGGCATGTCATCAGGAACTGCCAGAAGAGTAGAGCATTTTTGGTTTTTGTGAGGGGGTACTAGAATGTTATAGGGGAGAAAATGGAAATTGTATTAAAGAAATTTTGGCATGAATAAATTAGTTATAGAATTAGTAAGATTTGGTTGGTTTGGCCCCTCTTGCATTAAAATTTACTATGTTATCTCCTGTAAACACAAACCACTATACTAGCACAAAGGTAGCAATATAAAATGTAGCATTGTTCTTATGTTATACTCTCTCTGTGTAATCAAAGAGAGCGAACCGTTTGAAATTTGGTGGATAATAGGTCCGTTTCTCTACATTTTTACTTAAATATTAGGCTTTTGGCTGCAGTACAATTTGACACGTGTTGCTTTCTTATTATTGGACCAAAAGCTTGAGAGCTTTTTGTTTGATGACTTTTCACAAATACTGTAAACACGTTCCTCTTGGTATGAGTCTCACTGCTTGCGTTTGAAAGTGTCACTTAAGATTTTAACTTTTTTTTTTGGGCGGTTAATATTATTTTTAAAATATTCTTTTCTGTAATTTGTTTTCTTGAGCCGAGGGTCTTTCAGAAACAGTGTCTCTACTCCTTCGGGGTATGAGTAAGGTTTGCGCCAGATCCCACTTGTTGTTATTGTCGTCATCGTCTTTTCTGTAATTTGACTAAATTGAGTAGATTATTTACCATTCTTTTCAGGTTGCGATCTATGTTTGGTGTTGACAGTTTTTTAGTTGATTTTTATGTGATTTAATTGTGTGAATATGCACAAAAAATCTAACTTCTGTTAGTGGTGTTAAAATAGTATTAAGCTTCTTTTCGACAAATGTTATATTAAAAGCAAAACTAAAGTAAACCAACATAAAGAAAACAAATATGAGTTAGCAAAAATGGTGGATAAAAAGTGTGGCTCAAACTAAATAACAATTTAAATTATAGATATGGAAATCAGATCGAAGTTGTAGGTTATTTGTCGTTGTGTGCATCTGTCTAGACAGAAAAAGAAAATATAAAATAAGTAACATTTCCTTAATACTTTTAAGTGGTCTTAGTTCCATGAAGTTGTTGTGGACTTGTGGTCCGTGATCAAACAACAGTTTTGCATGGCTTGTTTGTTTAAACAAAATATCATATTAAGTTTAACTTTTATTAGCATTTTTTTTTTCAAAATCGAAAATTGGATAAGTTGTATATGCTGTTTGAAAGTTAGCATTTTACTCCTACGATTTGATATCTAGTGTTTTTTTCCCTCATTTATTTAATTTAATGATAAGCCAGCACAGAATCGGGCGAGGATCGCGGCGCGAATCCCAGCATGTATCAAGAAGAGGTCGATTAATTAGCCAATCATGAAATTTCTTACTGTATTTAAAATTGTATCAAGAGCGAGACTCCCATGCTATAAAGGGGGTCTGATCATTTGTAAACATCATCATATCCACGTAATACAAAGCAATATACTATCTTTCTCTTAAGCTCTCAATACTATGTTATTTTGTTTATATTTTTCAGTAAAATACTCGTTTGACTTGAGGGCGACCTAGCTCGAGAGCCAAAGCTATACATTTCTTTTGGTTTGCGTATATTTCTATTTACAGTTAATTTCAATATCAATTTACGTATCTTTTTATTTTGTGCCAAATTATATCACGTATTCTTATAACCGCGTATAAATTCAATTGTTGTCCATTTTTAGGGTAAACAAATAGATTTTAAGATTTTCTTTTAACAGAAGTCTCCAATTATTTTAATAGTTTTTCGGAGACTTAAAACATCAGGCAATATGAATATTTAGTCAGGGGTAGGTTATAACTAAGGGTGTTAAATGGGTGGGCCGGGCCGGTCCGGGTTGGAAAAAAAATGAAACTGGCCGGTTTCCGATCCGGGCCGGTTACGGGTTAGTTTTTACCGGGCTTAACGGGTCCGGGTTCATCCGGGTTAAAAATAAACTGTAAGGGTTATGGGTCCAAGGGGCCGGGCCGGGCCGAGTTAGTATTTTTATTTTATTTTTTATTTGTATTTTGTATAACTATTGTACTTTATATTAATATAAAGTAAAAATATAAAGAATACAATGAAGATGGAAAAAATTGCACTTATAAATTGCAAGTGCTACATTTATTTCAAAATTCAAACTTACAAATTGTAAAGTTTATATTTAACAAGTAAATTAACGAAAAAAGAGTAAATTCAAAGATTTTGCATTGCCTTAGACTCTAAAACTTTAAAAAAATTGAAATCTAGCCGTTAAATCGGCCCGAGCCGGTTAACCTATTCTACATGGATTTTGGTTGACCTGGTTTGATCGGTCCGATTAATCGGATGAATTAAAGTCAACGAATCAACCCCCTAACCCAGTAACCCTGCCGGATCCCTGGTCGGGCCGGTTCGGGTTTCAACCGGTCTGATCCGGGCCGGTCCCTGGTCAACCTGGCTAGTTTAACACCTCTAGTTATAACTTTGGAGCGAGACAACTTATCAACGAGCTAGTATTTAATTTACTTTTTTAAAGTTTTGTCCAATCTCGTGAGGGCACACTTTGAGTGGGAAATAAGTTACCCCATACCTGAAACCACTGTAGAACAAAGTTACTGTCAAACGGGTCACCCAATAAGGTAAAAGTAAAACCCGAATATCATTAGTTAATTCCTAACAACGAAAGAATAGGTTTTTTGAAGGGTTTAAGGCAGCCTCCATTGCCAACCCCCTCTTCCTCCTCCTTCCCTTTCTTCTCTTTCCCCCGCATTGTTTCTTCTCCAAGTTAACCTTTTGATGTTATTTTCACACTTTAATCAGTTCTCTACACCTTTATTTCAACTTACCAGTCAATAAGACTAACCTTTTCTCTTCAGTTTTCCAATAAAAAAAGATCCACTGAATATGTGGAGATATATATCAAAACAAGCTTATTCAAGAAAATTCAGAAACAGCCATGATTCAGCTTTATTGGGTTTTTCTCAGTGTTCTTCTTCTTTTGGAAAAACTAGACCTTTACAATGCTTGTGTGAAGAAAGTACTACAAACCCCAACTTGGGTTTGTCTCAAAATTCAATCTTTTCTAGAATTAGTAGAAAAGTTAGGCATTTAGAAGGCATTTGTGAAGAAAGTTCTAAAAATCCTCACTTGGGTTTGTCTCAAAATTCACTCTTTTCAAGTGTTAAAGGGGATTTTCGTGTTTGCGGTAAGAGGGGTAGTGGATCTTTAGGATTTTTGAGGAGTTATGGTAGTGCTGCAGAAGCTATTGCATCTACATCTGAAGAAGATATTGATGAAATTCAAGAATTAATAGAGGAAATGAACAAAGAAAATGAGGCTTTGAAGACCAATTTGCAACCAAAACAGCCTAAAACAATAGGTGGGATGGGGGTTGGGAAGTACAATTTGCTTAGGAGAAGGCAGATAAAGGTAGAAACTGAAGCGTGGGAAGAGGCGGCGAAGGAGTATCAGGAGCTATTGATGGATATGTGCGAGCAAAAGCTGGCACCAAACTTGCCTTACATGAAATCTTTGTTCTTGGGTTGGTTTGAGCCGTTGCGAGATGCTATAGCTGCTGAGCAGAAGTTGTGTGATGAAGGGAAGAACCGCGGGGCATATGCTCCGTTCTTTGATCAATTGCCTGCTGAAATGATGGCTGTGATTACAATGCACAAGTTGATGGGTTTGCTAATGACTGGTGGAGGAACTGGCAGTGCTAGAGTTGTACAAGCTGCTTCCCACATTGGTGAAGCTATTGAGCATGAGGTTCGTGTATTGCTTTGTTTGAATATGTACATTGCATGCAATTTTATATATTTGGATAAGATTCTAGCATGCTATACTGACCAAATATAAAAGAAGAAGAGGACGATACTAACACTCCCTATATAGGTTGCTCGTTCCTATATTGGTTTTTTTCCTCTCTAGGTTTCTTAGGGTCCTTTTCTTCGACCAACAGAGCAATGTTGTTACATGGAGAGTTTTCTTTATTTGTAAGTGCAGTTTATGATCTGCTAACTATTGCTGCCTGTACATTTGTTTGGATGTTACTTATTTTTTGGTGACCATGTGCTAAGACACTCCCCTCTCATCTAGAAAGGATAGGTAGTCGACAGAGAATAGAGCGATAGCACAAACACATTAACTGAAAGAGATTACAAGATTACATCCGTAGAGGAGTGGGGAAAGCTACTTAGATAGTCCGGTTGATTTAATGTGCTGTCCTGCACTGTCTTTTATTGATTAGCGAACTTGATTTTTTTCTTTTCTGGCCATAGCTTGCTTAATCTTTATTAGAAGTCTCTTAACCAAAAGTTGCTAATGGAACTAGGGAGAGATTGCTGTAACTTTTCATTTCTTTATTCATGTGTAGTATGTTGCACTATCAATATGGGTGAAATGATGCTGCAAAATTATCTCTTTCTTCTTGTTGATAAAGTAAAAGTTCCATTGATAAATTCAGAGAAAAACCTGCTATACGAGTGGTATACATAGGTGGTAGAACCTGCAAGAAACCATGGTTCGCCACAAAGCGCACCCAATCATCAAGACTCACTGAAATTTCATGGGTGCTCCAAAAATTGACTAAAAATAGTATATGCACAAGTGTATTTTCAACACCCTTTAGAGCTCTCCTATTTCTCTCACTCCAAGGAACCTATGCCCATGCCAATCTCCCAAGCCCTCTTCTCTCCAATTCCTTTGTTTAATGGTGCAGGTGGCCTAGATATCCTTCACTCTCCTTGGCATCACCCATTAAATTCCAAAAAGGTTCAAAGTTGTTCACTGTAAGTGGTTCACTACTTGACAATGGAGAAACAAATGATTCACGCCGTCTCCCACAATTTGCACATACAGCACATACTAGTATGTAAAAGTTTCCCTTCTCCAGATTATTTGCCATGAGGATAGCACTCCTAACTGCCTAACCATGTGAAGAAACACACTTCCCCTGGAGCTCCGACATCCAACTTGTGATATGCAGGACCACTTCCCTTCTCTTCTGAGGGGCATGCAATAAAAAGATTTCATAGAAAAGATTCTCTTGTTCATCTTCAAGTGTCCTTTTTTGTTGGCATCATTCATTGATTATAAAGCAGCTTCAGTATTCTTTGAAAGTGGTCAAACTACTCTCAATCCTACAAGTATCTTTTGAAGCCCAAATCCCTAAATATTTCTCTTTGCTTCTTATAAGTAGGCCGCCCTAGAGATGTAGTTCAGGGTGGTGGGGCCCAACCCCGATGTTATGCTCTTCCAGCCAGGCCCGAGGCTGAGGCTTCCGATGCAGTTATCACAGGTACTGTTCTGGTTTGTAGCAGAGATGCTTTAGTTTTATTTGATCCGGGATCTACGTACTCCTATGTGTCATCTTATTTTGCACCGTACCTGGTCATGCCTGGTGATTCTTTGAGTGCTCCTGTTTATGTGTCTACACCTCTTGAGGTGCTCATTTATCGTCATATAACCGTTTATTTATCGTCGAAGAGTTTATCGTCAAAAACATCAAAAAGTTTTTGACGAGACATTCCGCCAGACTAATATAATGTGGGGATCTGAGGAAGACGAGGTTTTGGCCAGTATGAGGAAGTTGTTTCTAGATGAGGAAGACATGGACTACAATGCAATCTTAGAGGAAGAGGAGGATGAAGACCTTACCATGCAGACATTGGAAAAAGGAGTCGTTCTCAGGAACCGGACTGCTGCACCATCCCGGGCTCGCCGATGTAGAAAATGCATTCAAAAATACCTGTTTTTAAAAGCAAAATGAAGGTTGCTGGAAAAGGCGTTAAGTTCGATTATGCGAAAAGATTGAGGGACTTGCCCTCAAGCCCTGATTCTGACGCTAATGTGCATGTCCAGGCCCCAGATGATGATGATTTTGAGTCTCCTGCTCCTCCTAAAAACTCGCAACTAGAGAGCAGTCGAATGACTCGTTCGCAAACGAGGGCATCCTATCATATCATCTCAGCCACTATGAGCAAAATCATCATCGCATACCAGCTGATCAGGTGGTGGTGCGTATATAATGCCATAACCTTTTCCCATATCCCGTATACATATATTATAAATATATACGTGTATATAACGCCATCTAGTCATGGGTCAATAAGGACATTTGGTTTTGTGCAATCATTTGCAGATTATTCTTTATTCTCTTGTATAAAGAATGGTTTAACATTACATGTTCTTGTTTATGTCGACGATCTGATCATTACCGGAGACGATTCTGGTGTTATTGCTAACTTCAAACAATATTTGCATCGTTGCTTTCACATGAAAGATCTTGGGCCATTACGAGTACGGGGGAAACACCGTTTTCACTTGTGTACGGAGCTGAAGCCTTAATTCCAGTCGAGATAGGGGAATCAAGTACGAGATATACTCAAGCTACTGAAGAATCGAACGAAGAAGAGATGCGGGTAAACCTGGATTTACACCTCAGAATACGATTCCGGGCATACGCCCAAGTCCCATATTTTACTACGGACCCTCTGGGACCGTCGGAACACGGGTCCGAGTCCGTTTAAACAAAATGTTGATATGCGCCGACCCGACAAATTCATGACTGATTTTCCCGCCTAGGCCACAAACCGAGTCAAACCTGGCTGCCAAAGGCCAGAGAATCTTTGCACATGGAAGACACAGTCCCACGGCCCGCCAGGATAATCATGGCAGCCACTCTCTGCCAACAAAAACAAGTGCTGCACAGCTTGGTAAGATCACAATCTGTCAGCACAATCATGGGAGCCAATCTGGGCCAGCAGGAATTAGTGCATAACAACTGGACGGGGCCACTGGCAGAAAGTCTGCCAACACAATGATGAAAGTCACCTATGCCAGCAGAAAGTTGTGCCACACAGCTGGACGGGTCCACCGCCAGCAATACCCATCAGTGGACGTTTTTGTGTATAAATAGATATGCTTAGGTCTTGTTAGAAGGCAGATCTCACATACTTAGCTTGTACTTCCTTTTGTATATCAAGTAAATCAGAAAATTGGCCTTGGCCTCCAAACTCTTGTGTGTCTTTTACTTCATTATCTTTTCAGCCTTGTGTATTGTGCGCTTGCCATTCCTTGAGCACGAATTTCTGCTTATTTTTGGGTTAGGACTGAAGCTAGCAGCAGCATAAGGCTGTCTAGTTGTCCGCACGTAGCTTACTGGAGTTATGCCCTTGACAAATTGGTATCAGAGCGAGGTTTACAGAATGGCAACAGATAGAGATAATGTTGATCTAGGCAACATTCGTGGAAGAGACGAGTCACCAACAAAGAGGCAGAAACCGAAAAAGAGAGGGACAAGCAAGATGTGAGATCCCGCCATAACATCAACAAGTGAGGTGCCACCCCCACAACAAGTTAGCCATGGTGTAGATGGAGGTTTGGCTGCACTTCCTTTGGAAATACGAGCGAACCTGTTTGAGAAAGAGCATGTTGGTGACTATTAATGCAGTTCCAAACAGTCCAATTCTAGCTGGCATTTTGGGTTGTGAAGTAGGAAATTTACCAACTAAGTACTTGGGACTATCTTTGGGTTCCAAGAACAAAGTTGCAGATATATGAGAAGAGGTACTAGATAAATATGAAAAGAGACTTACAAGGTGGAAAGCACAGTACTTATCCCTAGGGGGAAGGATCATTTTAGTGAGCTCTGTCCTGGACTGCCTACCCACCTACATCATGTCCTTATTTCCTATCCCAGCCAAAGTAAGGAGAAGAATTGATCAACTGAGAAGGAACTTTATTTGGGAAGGCAACAGGGAGTCCAAAGGCTCCCATCTTGTTAACTGGAACACTCTCATCTCTAGCAAGAGAGTTGGCGGTCTAGGCATTAGAAACTTAAGTTTGCATAACAAGAGTCTCTTAATGAAATGGTTATGGAGATTCAATACTAAGAAGCAAGCCTTATGGAGACAAGTTGTCAACTGCAGGTACGAGCAATCAAGACACTGGAGCACCAAACCAGTGAGAACTCCTTATGGAGTTGGCAATTGGAAAGCCATCAGGAATCTATGGGAGGAATTTACAACAAACACAAGCTTTAAGATAGGAAATGGGAGGATGATATCATTTTGGCATGATGATTGGATTGGTCAATGGAGCATTAAAAGATCTTTTTCCTGATCTGTTCAATCTCACCACTACGCCTAATGCCACAGTAGAAGAAACTTGGAACTCCCAGGGCTGGAACCTAATTTTCAGAAGGCTTCTCAATGACTGGGAAGTCACTAGAGCTACTGAGATTCTCAAAGTGCTAGAAGGTTTTGCAGGATTAAGTGAGGCGGAGGATTCTCTTACATGGAAAAGAGGCAAGGGCTCTAAATTTACAGTCAAGGCTGCATACAACTATCTATCATCCAGAGGACACCCCAACTATCCTTGGCCTTGGAAAAAGATTTGGAAGATCAAAGCACCATTCAAAGCTATTTGCTTTTCATGGTTTTTTTTTGAATTGGTATCTATTGTATATATTATAAATATCAGTACATAGGTTGCACTGAAAACCAAATTTACATGGAGAGGATTTGGAGATGTTCTAATTTGAGACCTAGCAAGATCCTAGTATGTCTATGATTGTCAATGTATCTTTTGTGTACATCTATTTGCACCAAAAACAGAAAAGAAGAATACAATTGAGTTTGATTTTCTGCACTGGATTGCTTCTATCTTCAAAACATCTAGTGTTCCTTTCCCTCCAAACTGTCCACCAAATACAAGCCGGTACAGTCCTCCATCTATCTTTACTAGTTGCTTCAGCTCCAGCTTCT